TGACTTTGGGAAAGCTTTCTTGGCAGCCATGAGTGAAGGCTGAGATTCTGTGCCACTTGCACATCATGCAAGCCATAAATACATGATATGGGACACACTTGGTTTGATACCTAGCTGAGTACACGTACCTCCAAGAGCTGGGAATGGACTCCAGAAATCCTGGGCCCCAGACCCTTGTTGCTCTAATCTTTGTACCCCACTCCATTCCTGGAGCTGGGGCTAGAACCCAGGAGCACTGGCTCCAAGTTCTCTTGCAAGTGCTTTCCTGTGCTTGGAGTGGTGCTGAAGAAAGAAGATGTGGCAGGTTTTGCCCACTCTGTGCAGTGTGGGTGCAGCTGGCTGGCTCTGGTTGGGGGTATGCTGATTCCACACAGCTTGCTCACTCCCAAGGAATGTGGGATTGGCTGGGATCCTGAGCCGGGATAAGTGCTCATTGTCCCACCCAGCAGTGCTCTGATTCTGGGGCAGCTGAACTGGACTTTCCCGGGAACAATGGTGCTATTCAGTGGGGTGGTGCTGGGAGCTACGCCCCCACCACTCCTGGGGAGTCTAGTCACAGCTGTGTAAAATGTCCGTGTGCAGACCTGGGCGCGCTGCGCTAAGCAATCGGCACAGAAGGAGAGCCTGCTGTGGCTGCTCGGTGTGCTCTGGTGCTTCTGGTTCCTGCCAGAGCCCAGGACTCCCAGCCCCCAGCTCTCTCACCCCCCCACTCTCCCCACCACACCTGTATTACCCACAACACTCACTCTCCGAGGGGGAGCTGGAGTGGAAGGGCCTGCCATAGCCAGGAAGTGGGGGGGGGGGGAGGTTGAAGGGGAGGGAGATGTCCTAGACCAGGGCCATGAAGCAGCTGGTTAGGGTTGTCCCCCATGGTCTGCTTGCCCCCCTATTCTGAGAGCTGTGCTGTCCCTGCAGAGAGAAGCTGGAGTCTTTCCTACCTGCTCACCTGTGCCGGCGGGGGCACAGCCTGCTGGCAGCACTGCGGAAGCGGGGGGCCAAACAGCCAGCCTATGAGCAGGGGCTGTTCCAGGCCTACCAAGCTGTGCGGGAAGAGGCAGCCTGCGGGGAGCCTGAGGCTCTGCTCCAGCACTACCGGGCCTATCTGCAGAGGTGCCACCAGCTGCCATACTATGGGTGAGTCTACAAGCCTGGCTGCTGAGTAACCTCCTGCGCCTGTCAGTGTGGGGATGGGGAGGGTGATTTGGCAATCCCATTCATTTCACCCTGTCCTCTATTCTCCATCGGCCTGGGCCCCTCAGGCGCTGCACTAGTTGTGCAGGCGCCATTCCCTGGCTGTAGCACGGTGACAGGATCTCGCAATAGTGCCTGTGTCTTTGTTATCCGTAGCTCTGGGGACGTGGGGAAGGAATGTGTTATCCAGCAGTGTTCCTTGTAAGCTGGGCACTTGTGCGTCCACTCAGGGGAGATTCAAATGCCATCCAGCTGATCCGCAGAGCACCCACAGCTGGGTTTTTGTTTCTATTGGGGGGTGCCCGTTCACACCTGACTCAGTGCACATAACAAAATTTATTCTGCACACGGATGAAAAAAGATTAGAGGGAACATTGGTGTCCGGGAGACAAACTCCCAAACCTTCCCAGTTTTATTGGTGAGTGCTTGTGCAATCTGAGCACTTCCCTGTGCAAGGCTTCCCTGCCCTGGTGCAATGTGTGTGTCTTCCTCCAGCTGCGCTTTCTTCTATGGGGAGATTGACAAGCCAGCCCAGGGCTTCCTGCACCGGGGAGGGCGCAAGGCAGTGTCAGTCGCCATCAGCCTGGAGGGGGTGTATGTCATTGACAGCAAAGAGAAGGTAACGCTGGCCGGGGGGTGGTGTCTCAAGTGGCTGGGGTTGGCTAGAGCTGGGCTGTTGCATTGGGCAGCAGTGGGTAGAGAAGGGGCTGAGCCATGATCGCTGCAGCCAGATCATGGCCTCCTCTCCTACCCATGCCACAGCAAGAGGGTGGCCAATGCAGACCACAGGGCCTGTCCCAAGACCAGGGCTGGGGACAGGACGCTGCGGCCAGATGGGGGATGGACCCCGATTGGGGCCTTGTTGGCCAGGCTACAGTAGCTAGGCCTTTGCAGCAATTGTGGGGCCACCAGGTCTGGGCCACAGAGGCTGCCCCAGGAGCATGGCGGCTGGGGACAGGCTGCAGCAGTCAGATGGGGGCTGGAGCCAGGCTGCCACACCCAGATGGAGGCATTTGCTGCTGCCAGCCCCTCTCATGTGTGTTCCCAGCCAGGATTGTGTGTTCCTCAGCTAGCCTTTTAAATGAGCAGAGTCCCCCAGCCAGCTCTTCCTGGGGCACAGCCGGTTCTTAGTGGGGTGCAGCACTTCACTTCACCTCTGGCTAACGGTGAAATAGACACGACCATCTTAACATGACTAATGACGTGTCTTGAAAATTCTGAATGAATTTTTCATTTTAATTGAAAAAAGTTGCCTGTGTTTTGGGCATGACAGAAGAGCCATATTTGGTTCTGTACTGAGCCATATTTAGCTCGAAAGCCATGGTTGGCTGACCCCTGGCACCTCCTAATACTGCCCAAGTGAGTGCTGTTTTCCTTGGTGGCTGTCACCACCATGTGCTGAGCAAGCCAATACCCCATGGAGGGGAAAAATCCTGTCCCATTCTCTGTCCCCCTGAGCCAGCCAGTCCCCCTGTCCTGGGGCTGGATTGTAGCTGGGACCCCTTGGGAGAGGAAGGTATCATGCTCCTTCCCTCTTCCTTTGGCAGCACGTCTTGCTGGGCCTGCAGTTCCAGGAGCTCTCGTGGGACCACACGTACCCTGATGAGGAGGAGGAGCACATCCTCTGGCTGGAGTTTGATGGGGAGAGTGAAGGGACCCTGGTGAACAAACTGCTGAAGATTTACTCCAAGCAGGTGACTGGGATTTCTGGGGGGTTGGCAGTCTCCAGCCCCTCCCCCCAAGCATCTGGCTGCCCCACGGAGGCTGCCAGTGAGGGGTAGGGAAGTTAATCAGTCTTCAGAGCAATGCACCGTCACAGTGCTAGCCATCTTCCTTTGCAGGAGCCTGGATTTGTTTCACAGGCTGACAGCTGTCAGACTGGGAACAGGTTCTTCTTGGGGCTGGTTAGTGGGGAAAGCATCCAGGTCCAAGTCCCTGAGCCAACAGACCCCCCCCTGCTGGAGCCCCCAAAGGAGAGCTTCCTCCTGTTGCATTCACCACCTCCCTGGTGCGGGGAGCCAGCCAGTTCTTGCTCCGCCCTAGCAGGGAAGGGCCCAGCCGACCCATAGCCCCCCCTCCTATTGCAGGCAGAGCTGATGAATGGCCTTATCGAGTACTGCATCGAGCTGAACGCAGCAGCAGAGGCGTCGGTGCCAGAGAACAGCACCTCCCAGAGCCCCACGCTAACACCGCTGGCCAGCAGGCAGCGCCCCAAGCTGCGGCGACAGAACAGTGTGGTCAGCAGCCGCATCCAGCACCTCACCACTATAGACTACATTGAGGATGGTAAGGAGCAGGGGCTTTGTCCTGGGGTGCTGCAACCAGCTTGGAGCCACCACTGGGCCTGGCCAGGCCTGGCCTCTCCTGGTCTGCTGGAACTTCCAGTGTCTCTTGTTCTAGAGTTACTCCCAGTGGCATCTCCTAGTTCCAATACCACCCCAGCATACAGCAGAGCCAGTGGCAGAGCCCTCTGTTGTAACTGACTAGATCCCATTACTTCCCAGAGCCAGGGAGAACCCAGGAGTCCTGGCTCCCAGCCTCACCCACCAACCCTTCCCAGAGTCCTCCCTTAGGCTCTGCTGGGACTCTCAAGCAGTCTTGGGGGAAGCAGTCATTTTGTGAGCTATTTCCAGCTCCCACTAGTAAGTTGTGGCCCCATGGAGTTCAGTGAGCAAATGCAGGGCTGGTCCAACCCGACTCCCTGGGCTCCAGGCAAAGAGATCAAGCGTGTGAAACCCAAGCGGACAGCCTCCTTCTTCTCTCGCCAGTTCTCACACAGCCCAACCGCCTACTCGGCTGTGCAGGCTCCAGCGGAGAGCCTGGAGCAGGGCTGAGTGCCGTCTTCACTGGTGCACAGGGAGCAACGGACCAATCCATATGGGGCATACCCTGTGGCCAGCACGGTGGCTCCTCTGGTCTAAGACATGCGCCTCTCTAAGTTATTCTGTGTTAATTTATACCAATGGGATCCCAGCTTGCTGCATCTAAAGTCATTGCCCTCCGGTCTATTCCCTCTTCTGCAGCCATTCCATCCTGGGCCCTTAGGTGCCTGGGTTATCTGGTTATGTTGAGTGTTCTGTGCAACGGGGCACTGACATCCCCTCCTGGGGAGTGGAAGCTTCCTGGTGTAGTTCTACTGTGTCTCTGTTGGCCCCACTGCTGATTTCAGTTGGCACCGATGTAAATGAAGGGAGGAGCGGCCATGCCATCTTGCCAAGCCAGCATCGCTCTGAGATCATCTTGCCTACCCCTCTGTGCTCCTAGGCCTATGAGCGCTGTCCTAGTGGACAGTGCTCTGCATTGTTTTTCTGTGCCGGAGTCTCTGCACTCGGTGAAGTGTCCTGCGGACGCAGGTTTCGCAGCGTGCAGGGCTGGAGCTACTTGGAGGAGTCAAGTCTCACGCAGGACAGATGTGGATGCAGGCGTTGGTTCATTCTACATCCCTTAGAATGTTGGTGTGTCTTGGCTGTATCCCCTGGTGGGCTGTTCCATTTTCAGACCTGTGCGGGATAGCGATTCCAATGGGTGGGGGAGTAGTGATTCAACATAACGCTGCCTGCATTTCTGGAAGAACCGATTGCATAGCAGCTTTAAGGCCTTTCACACTTCAGCTGGTGAGGGCATGTGAGTCTGATTTCAAAGCTGACCTCACCTCTGGTCCACAATTAATTCAGTCCAGGACAGGTGGCATGAAGTGTGCTGTGAAGCAAAGGGGGAAAGACTGCTTTGCTGCTGAAGCTTCATTAAGAAACAAGTCTCCAGTCTGGCTTTGATGTCTCACTGGCCCTAAAAAATCCCATCTTTGTTTTTGCTGCCTCTAATTCCTGTCCCAAGTATTCAGTCCGCTTTCCGGAGGGGTGCTGGGATGTTTGGTTTGTACATATCGCTCTTTCTATGGATGGGATGTCAGTGGTTCAGGAAATGCTGAGTCCCCCACGTGAATCCCAGCTCAGCTGTGGAGAAAACATGCTTCGGTATTAATACAAGGGGTCAGTAATTGACTGCAGCAGGTTTACTTGCTGGATGTGCAGCTGTTGGAAGGAGCAAGTTCCTTGCCTTTCTGAAGCTGATGGTTGGTGTATTTCAAGTTGGGTATGGTGACCTACACCAGGGGTCCAAACTGCTGTGCCTTATCCATCCAGGACAAAGAGTCTATTTAGAACAACTTAGCCTGTGTCTGTGGTTTGATTTTTGAGCCAAAGGGGTTTAACAAGTTCTGTGCATCTAATCCTTTGGTCCATTTTGAAATTCTTAGCCTTAAAGCCCAAGCACTGCACCCTTTCCTGTGAGCAATTTATTTCCCTAATGGGGAAGAGGTGTAGGGGTGGCTATTAAATGACTGTGATGCTTGTTATCCTTTTAAAATCAGCACTGTGCAGTTTAAACTGTGGAGGCAGCTGTGGAATAAAACGGTCAGGGTGGGATATTTACAGGGACAGAGGGGATTTACATTTGAACAGCTGTTTCATTTAACTGGGGATGGGGTGGTGATTGGACACCTTGGCCTTGCTTCCCACAGTGCTGATGACAGAGAGGCAAGCAAGCTGAAACTGTGCAAGTAGAGCAAGTCAGTTTTCCCATCTAGACAAACCCTTGGTGTCTGGCAGTGGTTTTGTGTGGTGGGGAGGGAGGCCATCACACAAGGGCACTGAGAATCTTAAACCATACTGACCTGCCAGTCATACAGCTACACAAACACATCTCATGCTCCTGGGCTCCCCAGTCTCTATCATGCACTTTGGAGGTGTCTCTCTTGTAGCAGCAAGGCTTTTCCAGGGATTGTACCAGATGTTACTGCTTGTGGATTGACTCTGGATGGCAGTTCATCCCCTGCACTGCCTAAGCAGAGTAAACAGCCAGAAGCTAGAGATCTAAAGCACTTAGCCCATGTTAGCTGCACCGGTGCCAAGAAGGCTCTGCCTTCTTCTGCTGGGGGATTGGCAACTGAGCCCAGGGTGGTGTTGGGCTGAGACTGGTATTTTGAACTCTGGGCCTAAGATGGGGTTTCAGGCACTCAACACCCATTGAATTTCAGTGGAGTTCCACTGCCTCCCTTGGGGAGAATCCTTAATTCTTATCTGTTCACTCTGAGCACTTGTCAGGGTCAATCTGGCATCCAAACTGACCAGCAATTAGGCTGCATGGAAAGGAAGATGGTCAGTGTCCAAGCGGCTGAGGTGCTCAACTCTGATTTCCCTGGGGATTTCCAGGTCATCTTTTCCTCTGTTCCTTCAGGCCCAGGCAGTACAGTGTCACTAAGCACTGATGATGCTGAACCAGTGGCAGTAGGAGTGGGAGGTGTGTGCAGACTTTCCTGTGGGGCAGTTTGTTCACTGATTGGAAGGTAGAAAGATGGAGTTTATTTCCGTGTGTTACCAAGTGGCTTGGCTGGTTTCAGAACTTGTTTGACAGCAAAAGGGTGGGGGGAGATTCAGTGTTTTGGGAAGGGGAAAAACAGGATCTAATTATTTTTAGGCTTGGCTGGAAAAGCTGCAGCACTTAGAAGCAGGTCAGCTACTTTTCCAGGGCTGGCTGTGCTTGCACTCAAAAGGCCTGCATGTTGGGAGAGCTGTAACACCGTGATCGGTGCTGGCAGAGACCATGATTCAGCAGCTTTTACACATCGCAGGGTGGAAGCACCAGTGGGTTAGCTAGGCCCAAGCAACAACTTAACCAACTTTCCTCTGACTTTGTAGCTTGTGCAGTCTCATGATGAATGTATTTCTGGAATGTGGTACCTCTGCCTTAGTGCTTTGTCACGGAATGACTCGAAGTTCTCCAACTGGGGCTTGGATGGATCCAAGTGTTGGGCACTGTCCCTCTCTCACTCAGTGGGAGGGAGGTCTGCTTATAGGGGCTTAATGGATGCTTTCACGCCAGCCTTATGTTCAGCTGGGTTGTTTGATTTCTACCTCTGCCAGTTGGTGCTCCATCTCCAGCTATTGTCCGAGTGTGATGTCACTGCCCATTCTGCTCCCAGGCCGCATTTGTGATCACATTTGATCTCCCCGGGGTAGTTCTGACCCAGTTACCATCTGGTGCTCACTCTATGCTAAGGGGATCCATGGCACAAGGGGGCAGGACAACAGTGAATTGGGCTCTAAGTGCTGAATGGAGCATGGGGGGGGGGTTTGCTAGTGATGGGAGTAAAAATGAAAAATTGCAAAATACAGGCCACGATCCTGTCTCAAATTGGGTGGGGAGCTTCAAACCTATGCTGGGGTGCCTACCTGTTTCTTGCTGTGCTGTTAATGTGCGCATAGCAATGTTGCCCCCCAGAAAGCATTGCAGTTTCATCCGGGGTAAAAATACATTGGTTAAAGGTGACATGCACATTCTCTGGGCAAGAGAATTCTGATATCCTAATGCAAAGGCTGGGCTGTCGTGTGCCATGGGATGGGGGCACACAGCTTTGGGGGATGGAAATGGATTCTGACAGTTTTGAAGTGGAGCACAGAGGGATCGCTTTTCTCCAACAGTGTCTGAGGTCTAGGAAGTGAATGCAGGAAGGAGCTAGGAGTGTGGAAAACACAAGGAGGAACTGCTGTAGCTGTGAATGAGCCACAGGTCAACTAAACACGAGAGCTCTGGGTTTCACTAGTAGTGTAGCCAAAGGTAGAGCACCCCAGATCCTTAGTTGCTAATGAAAACTTGTGGCTGAAAATCACTAATGTTAAACCTGAGACCTCCCCATCTCTCCCACTGGTTGAATCCTGAATGCTTTGGGCTGTTATGTCAGTAAAGAGCACCTTGAAGCATGATATCTCTTAATGCTGCAGAAGCCTTCAAAACAGTCAGCAGCAAAATGGCTCGTTTTGCATCTCCTGCATGGTTCACTGCTATGCCAAGTGGTTATGAAACACCCCCGGGTGTGAAACACACTTTGCAGGGCCTCTGCATTAGGGTAAAATTGCTACATGAGGCTAATGGAACCAGGCCCAAAGCCTTCAAGGTTCCAGTTACCTTCTGTGAGATTGGATTCAGGCTGAGTTGGTGCTTTGGTCAGTGCCAGATGTGTGGTCCGCTCTGGGGACTGCCGTGGGCGCTGTTGAAAATACTGAGCTTGGCTTTGTTTATGCATTTCCCATTCAGCTTATGGTTAGCAGCTTGGGAGGGGAAGAAAATTTGCTGTTTATCCATTTGCAACTGCTAGCTCTTGCATAACTGGATTCCTCCTCTTATTAGGTCAAATGTCATATCTTTCTAAATATGACCCCACATTTCTTGTTACAAACTATGGGAATACTTTTAGAAGGGGCTGTAGGACCACAAATCTCTGAATTGTTTGATACTTGTGCTCCTATACACCCAAGTCGTGTCAAAATTCTCTTCTTAACTATTAAAATTGGGCAACATATTTTTTAAACACGTTTTATATTTTTCCTTTTTTATTAAGGGCAGTTGGTCACAAGTCAATTTCACTCTGAGGTTTTCATGCACTAGCACCACTGCTGCAATGTACTAGGTTTGCAAGACTTTTTAAAAACAATGTAAACACTGCTTTTGGCTTGAGGTTTGGCTAAAAATGCAGGAGGGATGTTTAACTACATGTGGACAACATTTGGATCCACTTTGCCTTCCAAAATGAGAGAAAGGGCTACTGTTTTGGTTTCACTCATGCAATGTTATAATGCCCCTTAATATTTCTTAAATGATCACCTAATGTGTCTTTCTCCCCCACCCCATGTCCCTATGGCCAGTATATTTCACAACAGCTCCAGAAAGATGGCTTTGTACCCTGATATGCTTGTCCAGATCTTCACTGAAGCTGTACTGTTTACAGTGCCTTGAATGATTGTCTCTGTTTTACACCTGCTGATGTTCTGGTCCATTATCAACAAAAAACTCCATAGTTTTGAAAACCCTACACCACTAACAGTTGCCACATGGAGAATTTGGCATGTAGGTCACCATTGATCATGTGAGTTTCACTTCTGCATTTATCATGAAAGTTAACTGGTTAATTTCCCTCTTGAGCATCAGCTCACTTTCTCCTCCTGATGCTGTCTTATGTGGGTCTCCAAATGCCATTTAAATCCAAAGAACTTTGCTGTTGATTTTTTTTTAATTTAAATAGTCAACGTTTCTATTCACAGCAAGTTTTATAACCCTTCCCCTTTGTTTTGTGTAGTGTGAATTTTGGGTCTGGGCATAAGTGTTGCTTTCATTCCAGCCTTCTGTGTTTAATTCCAGAAGTCTATGGAGTGATTTTTTTTCCACTCTTAGCAAGATTACATGTCCTGTTTGTCTAGTGCCGCAATGCCTTTCGGGATAAAATCCATACAGCTGGGTCTAAGGAAAATTCATACCCAGCACTTTGTAAATGTGCCTTTACATTCAGTGCCATAGAAGGAAATGAACTGAAATGTGTTCTCTCTGATAGAATGATTTGCTTCCAGGCTAAAATTAGCTGGAGGAGTTGTGCTTTCCAGGCTGGATTCTGCCCCTACAACAGGTCTAATTTTGTAATGGAGAATCAAGCCAATAATTTTACACTTCTTTCTAAACTATATCATTCTGTCTTGTGCTCGTTGTATCTGTAAGTGCTGATTCGTGTGTGTGTGTGTTCTCCCCTGAACTGGAAATACATCAGATTTATCAATATGTGACACAAATGGCCTTCTGTTTTTTACTAATTTCTGTATGCATTTCATTTTTACAGAAATATTTGTGTACATACTAATATTTTTCTTTTGTATGCTACAGATCACTCTTATAATAAAGAGGATGTTTTCAACAAGTGATAAAGTGCTAATTTGAGATCTGCTTATAAAAGGTATTATCTAAGAAGCCAGGTGTTAAGATGGTCAGTGTTTGTCTGTGATCAGATTGAAATCCCGTCTGACTTGTGTACTTTTTTGATTCCCAGCCCCCTATGGTATCTGAGCTTTTCACTCATCATATCACCTCTGGGAGGTAGGGAAGTGCTGTTACCCCCATTTAATAGGGAAACTGAGGCATGGAGACGAAATCATTTGCCCAAAGTCACACAGAACCATGTTAGAGCAGGGAATCAAACCCCAGTGTCTGACCCACAGCCTGGGACATGCAAGTTACAAACTGAACAGCCCTTACATTCCCCAGCTGGCTGGTTGTGATGTCCTCATGCCCATTTCACTGGGGTAGTATATAAGCCAGGAAAGTTCCCACATTAGCAGGCTTACACCTG